ATAAAGGCATACATGCATTTTAAGATGCCTTTTCCAAAAAAAAAAAAAAAAGCCTTTTTAAATTTTAAGTTGATGGTCATATACCATGATAAACCTACGTGGATGGATCTTAAGAACTTCGGGGGCGAAAAGAGAAAAAGACATCTGAAAAAATTTAGAAAGACAAAAAGAAAAAAGACAAAACAAAAGAAAACAGAGCTAAAAAAATGTCCCATAACAGAAAAACTCACAAAACGCTGTCTCAAATTCTTTTTTCTTTTTTTTTAATTTGATAAGGGCTACGGCCTTGACATATCATAATGTGAACTAACCGGCCCTAGGTAATTCAGAATGGCTTCAATTCCAGGTTTTTTTTTTTTTTACTCATCTGGTACCAGCTGAGTTCGGACTCAGCACGTGGTCTGTATTTCAACAGGTCAGGGGTGTACCAACTGAGCTAGGCCGGCCTATAAAAGGCTGTCTCAAATTCTCGAGAGTATGCTGCCCATCATTCTCTCCACTATAAAAAAAAAAAGCGCAAAAAAAAAAAAAAAACATTCTCACTACTCACTGCAACGAGGAGAGAGAATATAATACACCCAGATCCTACATAGTTTTTTTCTTGTTTTTTTTTTCGCAGTGCATTTCCCCTAGGCTACCTGAGTGGCCCGGGACCACTTGTCCGGCTGGATGGATAGATGGATTAGGAAAAAAAAAAAAAAAAAAAACTATATCTACATCGTCAAACAGAGCTGCCCGGTAAACCGTAGGCAGAGAGGAGAGGGAGGGAGAGAAGAGAAGAGGACAACAAACGAGGGGCTGTGACAAACTGTTTCGTCGGGAGTTTGAAGATATATTCAGCCTCCTGATGAGTAGGTAGGGTGAAATTCCGACGAAACAGTTTGTCACAGCCCCTCGTTTGTTGTCCTCGTCTCCCTCCCTCTCCTCTCTGCCGACGGTTTACCGGGCAGCTATATATTTATTTTTATTTTTTATTTTTTTGATAAAGAATTTCAGTGTGAGCCTGAGGCAAAAGTTGTTCAGTTTATTTTTCTGCATAACATTTTTCTTTTTCAGATTTTTTGACTTTTTTCTGCTGGGACCTTTGGTCTTTGCACGGCCGGGCGGCCCGGCCAAACAAGGTGACCCGGGTGGCCCGAGCTGGTAGCCTAGCATTTCCCACAATAAAGAACCAGCACTGGGCCCAGCAAGGTACCATTACCTCCACAAGGGGTACCAGTACCCCAACAAGGTACCAGTGCCCCAGGCACGCTGCTAAGTGACTGCTTGGACTTGGGAGAGGTGGGGAAATACTCCGTTAAAAAAAAAAAAAAAAAAAGAAAGACGCATGTTCAATTCTTCTTCGTTTCGAAATCCCGCTGTGCATTATTTCTCTCCGGATTTTTTTTGGGGGTGTGTTTTTGAATCTCTCTCCATATCAGTTCCGTCAGTTATTATATTATATTTCATGATTTATTTATATTATTTACTACGTTACCAGAGTGGCCCGGGACCACATGTGCAGCCGGGCCAAGAATGAATTCATTTTTTATTTTTAATTTGGAAAAAAAAAATCGATGTGACCCTGAGGCAAAAGTTGTTCATTCTATTTTTCTGCACAAAAATATTTTCTCCCGGATTTTTTTTGGGGGGGGTGTGGGGTACAGGGACCTTCCCGGGCCCTTGCCCGGCCTGGCGACCGGGCAACCAAGGTGACCCGGGCAGCCCGGTTGGTAACACATATATATGAAAATCCGACGACACAGTTTGCCACAGCCCCTCGTTTGTTGTCCCTCTTCTTTTCTCTCCCTCTCCTCTCTGCCGACGGTTTACCGTAGGCAGAGAGGGAGAAGAGGACAACCAACGAGGGGCTGTGACAAGCTGTTATATATTTCCCTGTAAAAAAAAATAAAAAAAATAAAAAAAACTTCCTGTTTCGGAATACATATCTTCTTCCTGTTTTGGAAGATCCTGTGTTGAAAATAGTAGCAAAACGAAAACCGGGTTCAGTTCTTTTTTTTTGGGGGGGGGTTGGGGGGGGGGGCTCTATTATTAGAGTATTATATTTAATTTAATGATGAATCATAGAGCAAGGCCAGAGGAACGTAAATTCACCTGAATTGGGGTCGGGACCTGGTAACCCTTTCGCTTCACTGCACGATACACAGCTGGACTGCCTCAACGATGAGCCCAAAAAAAAACAAAAAGGGCCCTGAAACAAAAA